TTTATATATTTTTTAAAGAATAAATAATGCAATTAATAATAAAGTTTCGATGTGTCGCAGTCCAAAAATGCGTTGAAAAATCGGAGAGAGAGACTCCATGAGGCATGAAGCTCCTGGAAGGTATCAAATATACCGAATCCTAACAGAGGGCTATGTGAATTTGCAACAAAGTTGCTCTGCCGAAGTGATTAGCCGGTGAAGCGATCGAAATGAAGATGTTGGTAATTCAATAAGGGCCCAGAGTGATCATCTTCACGACAGTGGGCAATTCGAAATCCCGAGAAGCGTTAACTACCGTTGGAACCGTACACCAATGTGACCACCCTCGACACCAACCCCAGAGTTGAAGAAAGCTCCCAGGCGCACGATCTCCAGGTATGTGACCACTGAATGAAAATGGTAAACAAAAGGGAAAAACGAAGATATGAACGAAAAAGCGATTGAACCAGAGCCCGATGGCGGTGTTAAGCGTGACGGAATGGCGGTGATCTCCAGTGTCACACAGGTACCGCTCGTAAAACGTCTCGTATTTCACGTTTTCGAATTTCCAAGAAGTGTTTTCATCATTGAACGTTCAGGGTGGAGAGACCCGCTTCAAATGCCCCCACACCGTGGCTTCAAAACTCGGCTCTTTTTTTTTTTCTTCATGAAGACGATAACAACTCTTTGTACCGGTCAACAATGAAGTGAAGGATTGAATGGAGAAGTGGTTGGCCCAAGTGAACAATGACAATAGTTAACGATTTTTAAAAGTATTTTGTTGTGTTAATGGGCAGTCGTGTTCTTCATTGGCAACAAATGTTGCTGAAGCTTTATGAATGCCAATCACGATTTACTCGTTCCGTTAACATGACAAATGTGGACAAACGTGAATTTTGTAATTACGATGAGCCGTACATTGGTGTTTCAAAACCCATGTGAAACATACGGGGGAAAAAGTTCATCTGGGCGGTGCCATGATGGGAACCTTGGTGGACCGTTCATGTGGTCCTGCTGCTTCTTCATCATTTCTTTGGTACTTTTTAAATCCAATCGAAACAACCGGCAATGATCTTACCCGCGCATGCAGTCATCCCAGACCACATTCCCCTCCCACTTTTTTCAATCATTTTTGCATTGTCTTTGGGATGGCATCCTCGGGAATTTCTCACAGGCTCATTTCGCTGAGCTATTGGTTACTTTACGAGGTACTAGTGATTTTTATGAGCGCACCGACTCTCAGTGCGTGTTAAATCGTGACAAATAAAAAAATACGTGTCATCGGCCTAGTTTGGATGTGCCAATGGGGCGCCGGACAATAATAAACTTATCATTAAAGGGACATTGGCTTTACTATTGGACGCGGTGTTGTTGGGTGCTGGAGTTGTTGGGAAAGCCCATGGCTGTCCCGTCCGGAAGTTGTAGGAGGAAAAAAAAATGTTCAGGTGTATCGCCGAGTGGGAAACCGCGGGATATCGGTTCGTTAAATAAACTTCATGTTTTTTCTCCTATTCTTCGGATTGATAAGGCAATGTGGGACTGGAGTCTTGACAGTTGTGTTATCTCATAAATTTTCAGAGTTGACTTTCTCAAAGTCATCAACTCATCCACTACAATTAAATGATTAAATCAATACCGACGAAATTGGATAAATAAATAAATGCAGATAAAATTGCAATAAATTTGTACTATTTTTACCTGGCAAGCATAATTATTTGTGACGACCAACAAAGGCACTTGTACTGCCTTGAAAAATCTTGAAAATATACGTACTTTTAATGAGATCGCTTCAAGTACCAGTACTTGGTGCTGTGTTATCTTTTTTAGGGATACGGAATAATCAGTGGAAGTACAGGGTTGGTTGGGATCCCTGGTACCACATTTTATCATATATTACCTCGTGGATCACCATTGTTGGGGATGACCGTTGCAAAACACGAACCAGAACATGGGCCTGATAATCTTGGGCCAAGTGGCCAATATCCTATTCAAAGCGGCGGTTCGAATGAACCTCGGAGGCTCGCACCGCAAGAGCCTGTAATTTTCGGTGTCCAAACTGGTTCCTAGGAGTCCCAGGTAAATGCCGGCAGCGTCAATAATAATGAACGAGAAACTCCTTTCTAAACTGTTTCGACGTTTCTCAAATATTTTTGCATCCATATTTTCGCTTTTCTTCATGACTTGACCTAATGATACTACAAGTGCCATAACATAGATTCTTTAAAGTAAGTGCTGACACCAGTTGATAAAATTCTCGGTATTGATATACCGGAGACACAAATTCGATATTCGAAGGTCTAGTCAGGTGATTGATCGATTGTCCATTAAGTACCCCCTTTTTTAATAAATAATTTTCATATAAAGTAATATTCTCTTTCTTCTCTGATATAAAAAGGAAGGAAATCGATCTCGAAATATCTCGAATGAGCGTAAGTGTAAGACCGTGAGATGAAACCGAACACGCGGTCGTGGGAAACTCTGAAATCTTTCGAAT